GGGGAGAGACATGATGCAGAATGTGTAGGCTAGTCGAAGGGAGCTAACCCAGAAATATTAATCTATATATAGTTATCTGACCAAGTTTCTTCCCCTTATTAATTCGCTTCTCTCACTGTGTTGTTTTTTAAGAGCGACTGTAACGGTTCCAACTGTCTGTCCCGATGGTTTTATGGACCTCGCATAATTTAGCAAAATTTTTTGCATCTCTCTCTCTTGTCCTTTTTTAACTCCCAGTGGAGCACAGGCCATCAACAGCCTGTCCTGAGCATCTTTTTCTATCTGTTTCCATGATGTCCCCGCTTTTTAAATTTCAGCTTGTACCGCTCGTCTCCACGTCATCTTTGGTCTTCCCTTCTTTCGTTTTCCTTGTGGGTTCCACGTTAAAGCCTGCCTGATGATGCTTGACGGGGGTCTTCTCAGGGTGTGTCCAATCCATTTCCATTTCTTCACCTGTATGTCTTCCTTTATTGGCCTTCGGCTTGTTCTCTCCCATAGTTGAGCATTCGTGGCTCGATCGTACCACTTGATCCCCACTATCGTTCGTAGGCATCCATTTACGAAGCTCTGCAGTTTCCTTGCTGCTGATGCTCTATTTTGCATAGTTTCTGATTATTTTCCTTTATCATTCTTTGTTAAAATTAACAGAATCGCATAATTTCACATTTTTGGGCTCAGTTTGCATGAAAGTTTTATGGCAGTTACAACCCAAACAGGTCATACACGTGCCAAAGATTAGAGGTGTTACTAGAGAGTAATATTCAAAATATGACTGTGACTGTCAGGGTCTTGTCTTCTTTTAGTTTTAGTAGAGGTTTTACGGCGCTCGTAACTGCATAAGGTCATATGAGTGCCAAGGGTTGGGTGTCAACAGAGAAGTCCTTACAGGGAATCAGACTTAGACTGCTCATCTCTCTAGCTTCAACAGCACAAGGTCTATTTCGAGTAACAAGGCACCCCGGAAATAGCGGGTCACAAGAGTGTGACAATCATACAAAAGAAGTAGAGGAAAATGACGATAGTAAGGATTAGGAAAGAAAAAGCAGCAGTTCCCTGTTGTAGTTCAGGCACAGTTATGAGCATGACATTGTTAGCCCATTTGCAGTTCTACTGTGCTCTAGAACGAGAAATGTCCCCCCTTTGGGAATGGCCTAAAGACACTTCAGTCAGTCTTCTCAGGCTGAGTGGGATACAAAATCTATTCAAGGTCAAACAAGTTACCTCTTGCGTGCATGATTCAAGCAACTATCTTTTCTTTTTTTCCTGCGTGCAGCGACATAAAGGCCCATCACACTATGGACACCGGTGTAGGCCTATTGTTCACAATCAAAGCTGAAATAACATGAATATAAATTTCAATGAAGATAAGTAATGAAAACTTACAGTGCATTAGGCCTACTGGTGTAAACTATTTTTGTTGTTGTTGTAAAAGTAAATTCAATAATGTACAGAATGTTGATAGATGTATTAAAGAAAATAACACTTTATTCTCATCTTCCTCTAAAATTTGTCCCACTCTGTGGGATAGGCAATACAATAGATACCAGTAGCGGTATAATATAAATAAGACAAAGAACTCGATGCGCATCAAGAAAAACACTATCCAACATACGGTACAGCCGTACAGTCATACAAATGAACACAACATTGCTGGTCAGCACAGAACACAGTGAAAATAAAACAATCCTACCACAACAACACAACAGGCCTACAATTAGACTATTTGTGTTAGGATGAGGTGGAATCAGGTGCTGGTCAATTTTTGCACATCTGGAGTTGTTGGTATTGTTTTAAAGCTTGTTCATTTGACTATGTTTCTATGAAAATTATACACATCTATCTTAAATACTAGTTGAGATATTTGCGATTGAATGAGGTTGGGAATGGCTGGTTTTAGAGGTAAAATTAGTGAGAAAATGGCCGTCAAAGTTTGTTGATTTCCAAAGCTTGAGAATACTTGGAAACTAAAAATTTACATTAGTTGAGTGTTAAATCAATGGTTTTCAGCAAAATCCACTTAGAAATATTTTTTTTAATGGACATAAAAGTTGTTGAACCAAAATAGAAAAAATCGAAAAAAAACCCAAAAAACTGTCAAACTAGCGAAAAAATGCCAATATCTTTGATTTCATTATATTGACGAGCGCCTACTTTCTCCACAAAGCCTCACATTTAGTCAGGCTTCTCTTATCTTCATTGCCCACAACTCACAGAGGAAACAGTTTAATAATAATAATAATAATAATAATCATCATAATCATAATCATAATAATAATTTGAATTTTTTTTTTTTTAAAGATAGCATTTGTGTAGTGCAAAAGGAAACAGTTTAATAATAATAATAATAATAATAATAATAATAATAATAATAATTTTTAAAATATAAAAAAAAAGATAGCATTTGTATAGTGTAAATCCCCGCTGAACAGCAAGCTCTATGCGCTTCACAATTTATACTATTACCCCAGCAGACCTGAGAGCATTCTGAAACAACATCTTCCTGGGAAGCATACAGTAAAAACATTTATAGGGGCTAAAACACTAACACACGAACAAAATCTTTCACTGTCTATGGTCGGGTACCATTTCCCACCTGAGTGAAGTGAGGAAAATTTGTGTAAAGTGCATTTCCCAAGGACACAACGCCGGGCCCGCGGCTCGAACCCCCGAACCCACGATTACAAGTCCAGCAGCCAAGCCACTAGGCCACAGATGTTACATGTATAGACAAACAGTTTTGTTGTAGCGTGGTACGGTACAAGGCTTAGGGAAACATTATAGCCACAAGAGCCACAAGAAGAAAATATTGGTCGAACGGCAAGGACTGAGCAACAATGAGACAAACTATGCTGTCTCTCACTAGCTTATTGTCACCCCTTCTTCTTTACTTTTTGGTCCCTAACAGTTTTCTTTGCAGACAGATAGGAATGGGGCTCTCGTGGCCTAGAGGTTAAAGTGTTGGCCTCTCATTCAAAGGTCCCGGGTTCGAATCCGGGTAGCGACCAAAAAATTTTCTTCTCTAAAATTGTCTCCTTTCACCTCCTTTCCTGCTCTCTAGCAATGTTCTGTTGTCTGCTTTCATTTCCACTTTCTGCCCCCACCCCCTCACCTCCTTTGCCCCCTCCTCTGGGCTTCTGACTCTTTCTGCAGCCTTCCAACTGCTACTCCTTGGCTCCTCCTTACTGCTGTCTTTCTGCCACACCCCTGATCTTCTGGTAGGAAAGATCTACACCTAGCCTTCTCGGACAAGGGCGAAAAATCTCGGAGGGCCCATGTGCAAGTTGCCCACGTTAAAGATCCCTTGGTGGTCTAAAATCGATAAGAGTAGGCTTCGGCCGCCACTCGGGCAAAATTCAAAATTTCCTACCAACTGAAAATATTAGGTGTGTCCCGCGCGCTCATATGACCTTATGCAGTTGCGAGCACCGTAAAACACTTTACAAAAACAAAACAAAAAAGATTGGAATGATAGAAAACATTCATGCCTGCTTCATCATATCAAAACACATGTCATAAAACTTCTGCCACATTGTCTTTAAATATTAATGTTTTAGATCCCCATTTTTTTGTTTATGCTATAACAACTAGAGGTTATTAAGTTATCATTTCAGCAATCTGAAGACTTTTTAGAACATTTAAATATGAATAAATACCTTGGTTTTATGGTGAGTGGTGCAGAGAGTCCCATGGTTAACCTACTGGATTTGCAATTGTGAGATTATATGCTCAGGACAGGCTTCGCTGGAGTAATGTTGTTGATGGCCTGTGCTCCACTGAGAGTTAAAAAGGGCAAGAGAGATGCTGAAGGCTTGAAAACTCAGCTCGACTCAACTTGGGAAAAGCACTTTGGATGAATTTTCCCATTTGGCTCAGCTCTATTTGAGAGTTCTACCTCTTGAATAATCTTACAGGTTTAAGAACAATTTCATACACTTTATTTCTGCCTGTTATAGTGCAAAAGTGAAATGTTTGGCTTGCAAGGTAGTTTATGTACTTTCCTCTTTCGTAAATTCCCAATGCCAATCTACATCACAAGGTTATGATTTTTGGCAAAGGAGAAAAGTATATACACTGCAGAAATAGAGGGTTCCCACCTCTTTCTGATTTATCTGCAGACTAATAGCATCTTATGATACAGTAAAAATTCTCAAATAATTAAACATTCATCCACCTCTTACCCAATTCACTTTATTAACTTTCAGTCCTCAGTGAACACAAGAAACACATAAACAGTCATAAGTACATACTATGGCACCCAAACATATACCGCTCCTTTCTTTCAGACATTCCATCAGAATCAAAATACAAGAGCCCAAGTCAATTTGGAAAGTTTTCAGAAAATCAAAGATAAAGAGAGTGCCCAAATCAGAACAATGACCTGGGCTCTCATAACTTTTCATTTAAAAACTTGAAGGGAAATATAAAGAAACAGAACAAAACTACATTGCAAAAAACCTACTAATATCTTGACTCGAATTACCTGGTTTACTGGCTTCGTCTTTAGTTTTAATGCACTTGCAACACAAGAAGTTCATAAAGTGCCAATGATTAGAGGTGTTACAAAAGAATAACAAACACAAAAATGAAGGAGGACAGATCAGGACAATAGATTGCTTTATCTGGAAACCCCCAGAAAGTAATTTGAGCAACTGTGGAATGATACTGGGGATAGGTGAGGCATGTTGAAAAAATGAGTTACTGATCACAATCCATGAATGGATATATGGGGTGTTTAAAAAAGACTACTCCAAAATCATCATGCAATATTTCAAAAATGAAAAACAGTAGGAAACTCTGGCTAGGACACATGTGTTGTGCTTACCCTCAAGTTCTTATTTGTGAGGCAGTGTGTTAAAATGGGGCGCTCGTTAAGATAATGAAATCAAAACCAAAGAAATCAGCATTTTTTTAGCTGAGGGGCAATTTTTTTTTCGAATTTTCTCTTTTTAGCTCAATACCATTTATGTCCACTTGAAAACACATTTTTGTGAGTATTTTAC